AGGCACCTGGGTCTTCTGCCCCTTTTGTTCTTGTTTTTGCTGGTGTTTCCCAGTAGGCGGTTTCTTATTTTGTTTCTCCTGGGTTTTTTTTCTCTCTTTTGTCTTTTGGTTTTCTTTAGCTATTGTTGGCTCTTATTTGTTTGTTGCTATTAAGAAATGGACGGAGAACTGACAATATTATTACTCCCGTTGTATATGTGTATGTTTCTGTCCATCCAAAACATGAATAAAAAAAAGAAGATAGTAGCCATCCAAAATTCTACTTCTCTTTCTTCTGAAAGACTAATTATTATTATTATTATTATTATTATTATTATTTCCAATGTAGGTGAACTGAGAGTTAAAACAGAGTATGCTTAACATGTTCTACTAATTTGAATTGTTCTACTCAATTCAATTTTAGTTATGTAGTGCTAAATCCCAACAGTCACCTCAAGGTGCTTAATAATGTAAGCTTTACCTTACAATTTTAAGCACCTTGAGGTGACTGTTGGGAAAACCTACATCTACACCAAACCTAACAGTTGTCTTATTCAACCAATGACTATTCAAACAGTGGGCTTCCAAAACAGGTCAGCAAGTCAGCAAAAGTTATGGCTGAATTTTAAAAAATCCACAATGGAAAGAGATTATTTAGCATGAACCTCAAACCAAAAGTGAGATTTTGAATTCTAGCAATGGTCCACTTTGTTTTCATTTTTCATTAAATGAAGTGAGTCAAGTAGTCCCTCATTACTAAATACACTCCCTTGTGTATTTAAGCCCTGTATTTCCCTCTGTCCATTGTTCCATCATTAACAATGATTTATGTATCCTCGAACTGTGTGTGGCTGTTTCAGAGATTGAAACTCTCCCAAGAGGCTGAGCTTCTCACCTCAGCAGACTCTGGACCCTTTCAGGCTATGCAGTCTATTCAGCCACATCCACCATCAGCAGAGAGCTCAGCAGAGCCATCTCAACCTCCTGCAGCTGTTTCCACCTGGGAGCTCTGCCAGCCTTCTCAGATGAGAGCTAGGGTGAGCCGACCCAGACACCTTCATCATCGGCTAAGAGCTTGGGCAAACAGCCCCAGCCTCCTCCTCTGCCAGCTGAGGGCTCAAGCGAGCTCGTCCAGCCTGCAAAAGACTTAACATTTCTGCAGGCCGAGAAGCATCCAGAGCTGGCTTTGTGCCCTGCACAGCTCCAGCTAACTTCGCCTCAGCCAGAGGTTTCCACACCTGCTGGTTTGATGTCTGTTTCCACTGGAGGCTCAGGAGAGCTGCTCCAGCTGATTGCGGCTTCCAAGCCACCATCCGTCTCCGCCGGGGCCTTAGGATAGTCCGCCCAGCCATCACCTGCTCAACTGCCAGTGGCTGCCATGTCACCTCCAGCGCAATCACCAGCACAACCATCTGCAGGTGCCACACCACCGCCTGCAGCTCCATCACCCATAGCTTCCATGCTGCTGACTACTGAATCATCAGCTCAACCACCTGCGGCTTCTACGCACAGTCTCCCCCATCTCCATCTCCACCAGAGGTCAGTGCGGCGTCTGGTCCTGCCTCATGTGGTCCTGCCTCGTCTGGCCCTGCACACCAGCCGTCTGCCAGGCTGCAACCAGCCCAGTGGCCGCCAAGTCGCACCGACACCAGCCACTTTCCACACCAGCACTTTCTTAGCCATCATGGCGGCCTTAGTTTTACCTGTACCACCGCTGTTTCCCACGCAGTCGGCCTCCGAACCTGTTTTGCCACTGCTGCTGCTTCCCACATAACCCCCAGAACTGTGTTTTTCTCTGTTATCGGCTCTGTTTTGCTTTGTGTTCCAGAATATATTTTTAATCCCTGAGGAAATGATTTTATTTTCTTAAATAATTTCTTGAATAATAACATCACATTGTGTTATTGCCGGAGACCAAGAAAATGTCCAGATATTTGACTTTTGTTTAATTCAAAAGACTGCTTGAAAATTGAGTTTTTCTAAATTGAATAAGTGACTCTATTGTGCTATTCCTTTTAAGTTATAACTTTAAGTAGCAGGAACTGAATATTTTTTAATTTATATATTAAATGTGCTCATTTACATCCAGATCAAACTGGGTTTGTGCCCCAGAGGTTTTCCTTTTTTAACGTTCGGAGATTGATGAACATTATGTATCATAGGCATAGGGGGACTTGCAAGATCGGTTTAGGCAAACAGTTTATATCATGGGTTAATATGATATATAGACATCCCACTTCTTCCATTCTCACTAACCAAGATAGATCAGCGCCTTTTTCTTTACACCGCAGGACACGACAAGGCTGCCCTTAGAGGCCTTTGCTCTTCTCAGTTGCTATTGAACCTCTTGCAGTAGACATTAGGAATGAGCCCTCCATTGACCCTGTCCGATTGGGGAATATCAAGCACTACATTTCTTTATATGCGGATGATGTTGTTTTGTTCTTGTCAAATCCTGAGTGATCTGTTCCTGTACTATTGGATCTGGTGAGGTCATTTGGTGAAATCTCGGGTTATACAATTAACTGGCAGAAGAGTGAGTTTGTGGCTTTGACTGCAAACCTGGAAGTTGAGTTTTTGAAAACTTTTAAAATTACAGATAGATTGAAATACTTGGGTGTTACTTTGCCTATGGATCATAAATTGATCTTTAAGCTGAATTATTTTGCACAAGTTGAAAAACTGAAAAAGGGAATGGAGGGCTCTTCCTATTTCCATGTAGGTTGCATTAACGTAATCAAAATGGTTTCTCTCCCTAAATTCTTATATCTATTTTTAAATTTGCCGACTCAGTAGTATTACCATTTGTTTGGGGCTTTAAAACTCACAGGATATCAAAAGTTCATCTATGTAAATCCAAACTTAAGGGGGGTTTGGTCTGCCACGTTTTCAGTCTTATTATTGGGCTGTGAATGCTAGAACTCTTGCTTACTGGCAGCAAGAGTACAAAAAGGTCATGTCTGCTAATACCCGGGTGGTGGTTGTAGAGAGTGATGCTCTTCTTCTTTCATCTTCTAATCCGCGAACCAAGGTCAATAATTTTATAGTTTTAAACTGCATTAAAATCTTTAGTCAGATCAAAAAAGGTTGTGCACTACCAGACACTTCGATCCATACTCCAATATATCGTAATCATGCATTTCCACCCTCATGTTTAGATGCCTCTTTTGAGGTCTGGACACAGAAATGTATATTTACTCTTAAAGATTTATATATTGATAGGCAATTTGCATCATTTACCCAGTTGCAGAACAAGTTCTCTCTCCCTACATCACATTTTTTCCATTATTTACAGATAAGAAAGTATGTTTGTCAGAGTATCCTCAACTTTCCATTTCTTCCGGAGGAGGAGCCAATTTTTAAGCTCCTTCTGAGCTCCCCAGCTTCTAAAAAGTTGGTCTCTGGTTTTGTGAATGCTTTTTCAGAGTATTTGACTTTTAAATCTGACTTTTTGAAGACAGCATGGGAGGAAGAGTTTGGTTTGCTATTTGGAGATGAGGTTTGGGAGAGGAGTCTGTGTAGGATCCATCCATCCATTAAAGTGCTTCACAGACTTCATTATTCAAAAACTAAATTGCATAGGATTTTTCCTTCCATTAGTCCAATATGCGATCGTTATAAACTTGGAGAAGGCTCTCTAACCCATTTATTCTGGACTTGTCCCAAATTGCATAACTATTGGTTAAATGTTTTTCTGATATGTACAACTGCACATTAGAGCCACCCAATAACTGC